TATGAATGAAGAGATGACAAATTTTGTATCCCATTTTAGTCACCCATGAGCTGTCTGTAGGTTCAGTGAAGGGTCAGTTTGTTCAGCTAAAGTGCCAACAGGTTCACGGAAGGGGGCTTAGGCAGCTGCTGTCACGATCCCCTCAGCAGAGGTGTTATCTATGGCAGGCCTGGCGGGAAGCTAACCATGCACTGCTCAGCTGTGCCACCTTCACATTAGTGACTGAGTGGGGCTAGAGGCTTTACTGGGAGTACTTTCCAGCGGGGAACAGCAGTTTCTTATTTCATGCAAACAATCTATTTCTGTGATTTTTAAATTTTTTTTTATTTTAAAAATGTAAAAACTGACAGAACAACAATGAAAACAAAATCAAAACAGCACAAAAACAACAAAAATGATACATGACCTCAAGACAAAATGGTAGAAATTTACAGTGGTTGCTACATTACATACTATTATCTTCAATGAAGTTGCTCAGTTCATTAGACATAAGAATGTGTTTCTGTGATATTATCAGGCTTATGATGGATCTGTTGAAGCAAACATGGCATAGTATAAAGGCACATAGTTCACTGCATTCTAGGTTTACTTTGTCATCCCAGCCTTCTGTTCCACACCTGTCTTGCCAAGGTTGTCACTAACTGTCTCATTCCTACTCAAGAGCCTTTATGCTCCTAATTCTGGAGTCAGGGCCAAAGGTGTCTTCTTCTCCTATGACTTTTCTGAGCAGTCACAGGGACACTGTGTCCATTTCCTTGGAGATTATGAAGGACTCTTTCTGTCTGAACTAAAGGGAACAGTGCCACTGGCTCTTGACTTGACATGGCATGGATTCCGTGGGTGAACATCGATTTGAAGTCATGGGCACCTCAAAGGCACAAACTAAACAAGGAGATTAGATAAGCAGAGGCCAAAGATTAGAAGCAGCAATATCAACAGTGCAATTGCGGGTAAAGGGCTTAGTAAAGTCCCAGCCTGAATTACTGTTTCAGTACTAACAGCTGTGTACCAATGGGTGTCATTTATTATCTCTGTCAAGAAAATTGCTTTTCTCTGTGAATATTTTAGGATTAGGATCTGGATTTTTAACAAGATGTCTGTTACATAAGATTCAGATTGATTCAGGACACACCTGTGATTTTTGTTGAGCCTGTTTGAACAGTTATCCATAGGCAATTGTGCACAAGAACACTTTCTTTACAACTTCTTGGCTCTATTTACATTTTGTTGGGGCCAGTGTAAGTGATTCCATCTTGATTCTGACAATTTTTGTCCTTCCCTGATTTCTTCCCACCATCCTTTTCCCTCACCATCCTTCTGAGAATATCACTGAAGATGACATTCAACCACCATCCTGCAGTTATGTGTTCAATGTCCCTCACCTTGAGGATGGATCTTCCAAATGGTGATGAGGTCTGGTCCTACAGCGGAGTGGAAGTGATTGACTTGGGAGTCAGGATCATAATACTTTTAGCCACATTGGATCAATAAGAAGGAAGGAGGGGCTGGGGATTTAGCTCATCGGCAAAGCGCCTGCCTGGCAAGCGCAAGGTCGTGAGTTCAGTTCCTGTTACCGGAGAAAAACCAAATTAAAAAAAAAAAAAAGAAAAAAAAAAGAAGGAAGGAGCAGCAGGTCGGCCAAGCTTACTTGGAGTCCACTGCCAAATTTAATCTTATCTGTTGTATATGTAATGGCTGGTTTCTTAAAACAATGGATGAGATCATTTTGCTATGAATGGTACTTGTGCAGAACTTTGAGTGCTAACAGTTATGAATTTTAAAAGGAAAACATAGCACAAAATCAACAAGAACAAGATACATTTATCTTGAAGTTAAAGGCAAAATTTGTCTGTAGAACCTGTTAGAATCTTTTCCTTGAACCTGACTGAACATGCTTTAGAGAAAAATTGAAACTATAAACAACAAAGGAATAGTCACACTTAAATTGCTGAGGAGAGTTTAGCAATTGACAGGACAGCTAAGCTATTTTCATGGTCTATGGCAGTAGTGGTGAAACTATGGCATGTATGTTATTTGGTGTTCTTTTAGGAGGAAAGTTGTTAATGTATGTGTTGTTTTTTTCTAAACTAAAAGGTCAGTATTCAGGTTCAATTGCCATGTTGGCACTTTGCAATAGATAAGTGGGTCTGGGGCTGCAGTGTGAGCACTCATCTCAAAAGGTTCCCATCACTGGATGGCATTTTAAGACAACAATCATGATCAATAGCTTTGCACTAGGGTGAGCAGTCTCTGTAAATTTTATAAGATCTTTACAATACTAATATTAATACTAATACTGTATGTGAATGTCATTGTTAAATAGTAAGTGGATTTAACCAGATCACTTAAAATACTTTTAAAAAATAAATGTTTAAGCAAACCTCACTTTTTTGAGGTGCAGTTTTCATAACTTAGTCCAAACCTAATGAAGGTAATAGTTAACAAAAAAATAGTCTTGATAAAACAAAAAATTGTTGCTGTCTAAATCAGTTCTTGGTGAGCTTTATTAAAAGCAAATCAGTATTTTAAGAAACCATCACTTCAAACTTAGAAAGCTGGAATACAGTAAATACTATATACTTATAGAGTTTTATCAAAACATAGCATAACTTAACCATACTATTTTTTATATAGAGTTGTACATACTCATTTAAATGTTTAACTACATTGACCCTACTTTTAATAAAGAGCCAGAAAAAGCAATCTTGAATTGTTCTTTTTAGTTATATCAAGAATTTATGAAAATACATTTCTTGGTCCCAAACACATTATCATTTCTATAGAATTTCTAGATGTCAATACTACCTAAATTTATACTTAACAAGTGTTTTAGAATCTAATTTGCTTAATGATTAATTTTTTCCATGTAAACCTTTAGATTTTATACAAAGAGTTTGCTTGTAAACATTTGTCAACTTATATTTACCATATGCATGTATTTTAATAGATTTTTCTGGATTACTTGTGGAAACAGAGATCGAACAAGGATAGTCAGCATTTCCAGGTGTTACCTTGTAAAAGAAAAATCTTAAAAGTCAAATTGTGCTACTTGCTATATAGACATAAACTGGTTTTATAAAGTTTTATATTAAAATTCCAACTGTGAGACAATAATAGAGCAAAGTGAATTTACCAATTCTTTAAGAGTTGACTCTGAATTAAAAGGAAAACATAGTACATCCTTTCCTTTTATTTCTAACATAATAAAACAAATTAAGATTTATCCATATGGACAAATGCTAAGTTTCCAATCTAAGATTTTTGTGCATTTAGATTTTAATGCACCTCTTGCACATTTTCTCTTTGGACTAAGGACTAATTCATGGATGTTTACATTTTTAGCTACACTTGGCTGGGTAACACATTTCCAAGTAACCTTGAATAGCAAAAGTACATAAATAAAAGAAGAAAGCAGAAGGTAGAGAAAATATTGGCAGAAAAACCTTTATGTTACATTAACTCTTTGAAGCCACTCTGTGAAAAGACAGTGCTGGCAGCCACACAGCTGTGCACACTGGGTCAGCAGCTGCAAGGCCCCGGCCCAGTAGGTCCTGTGCAGTGTTCACACAGCATCACAACAGAGTCACTACAGAGACGCTGCTAGGTGACAGGATCTTCTGAATCAGGCATGGCTGAAAGAGACAAGGCCAAATATCACAAGCACACGCTCCTGGACAGACCATTTTTTATGAAGACAGTTAGGGACATCAGCTGACCTGGGGCTTTGGCTGAAGAGAATCATCCCTTGGTCAAGAGAACGACCAACTCTCACATAACAGAGATCAGCATGTTTGCATTGATGTGGTCAGGTGGGCTAAAGTCCCAAAATTCCCTTGGGCAGGAGCACAGTTCTAAGTGATGTTTCTTCTCGTGATGGACTTGCACCACCAGATGCTCACAAGGAGCCCATCCCAGAGGCTAGGAAATTTTAGTGTGACACCATCATCCTGCACCAAACATCCTGGCTTTGTGGGTCTGGGCCCTAGATTGGGGCTGAGGGCATTAGGTACTGGAGCTGTTTAGGTTGCTGAAGAACCACAAAGCTGGGGCAGAGAAGATAAAAAATACCAAGAAAAAGAAAATGCATACCAGCTCTCACATGCAGGTTCACACTATATGATATTGACTTTGGACTATATATGACTTTGGACTAAACATTTTCCTACTTTTTATTAGCAGGTTTTGGTTATATAGATTACTGGGTTTCATTATAGCAGATTTGTACACGCACATGACATACTTTAATCATTTCCCCCATAACCCATACTTCTCAAACCCCCCTTGGGTTAAACATTTTTCAGCGATCAGCATGTCTATGTGCAGAGATAAAGTAGCATTTGCAACAACGGTTGAGACAAAAAAAAGGGGACAGATACAATATGAAGACAGAGAACCTTTTTCCCACTTTAATCACCCATCAGACATCTGTGAGCTCAAGTGAAGGGTCAGTATCTTCAGAAAAGGTGAGAAACAACCGAGGCTACTATTATAACCCACACAACAGAGATATCATCTAGAGCAAACCTGGTGAGGGTGTACTAATATTCACCTGTATGACCACCAGAATCAGTCTTTTTTTAGTTGATACTTTTATGTATCCTTTATGTTACATTAACTCTTTCAAGCCACTGTGAGATTGGAGGGCTTACTTAGGTTTTTTCTTAGTTTCAATATCTCATTTCAGGCAAATACACTGCTTCTGTGGTTTTATCAGAATCTCACGACAGGTGCTACAGCACACGGTGCTACAAAGCTTTATTTTGCCATCCCAGCCTTCTTTCCATCACTTCCCACCATGGTGCCCCCAATACTCTCAGCGCTCAGTTTCTGTCCCATTGCCTCCAGTTCTGTGCTTTGGTGAATTCAGATGGTTGGCAGACAAAAATAAGAAGCTGAATAAAAAGCACAAGGTCAGGTTTTGCAGGAGGGAGTTAAGAATACCAATTTCTAGAGGCCACAGAACCACCCCTATATATAAACTGTTTGTTTTTATCTCACAGGAAAACGTGTGTGCCTTGGAGAACAGTTGGCTAGGTCTGAGCTATTCATTTTCTTCACTTCGCTTCTGCAGAAGTTCACCTTCAAGCCCCCAAAGGACAAGAAACTGAGCCTGAAGGTTAGGATGGGCATTACACTTTCCCCACAGAGCTTCTGCATCCATGCTATCCCCAGGATATGATGGTGGAGAAGGAAAGTGAAAGGAAAGAAGAAATGGCCTGTCTCTGAGACCTCTGGTGCCTATACAGATGTGAGGGGACAGAAGGAAGGTGGGGAGGAAAGATGAGTGCGATTAGACTAAGAGGAAATTTATCACAATCCTAGCTCTGCTATTTCCCTCGGAATTAGTCCAGAGCAAATCATTTATGTACTCAGTGATTTGTATTTTCATACTGGAGATGGAGAGGGAATGAAGATTCCTTCTCTGAATACAGTTCTTTGTAAGGATCAAAGGAAACAATGGACTTTAAGTGATTTGTAACCAATAAACACATGATGAAATTATAGTTACACTGTGCCTCCTTCTTGCCTTCTTTTGCAAACATGTATTTACATATGAGCAGTGGCCATTTCTCAGGTTCAAGTGTTACAACATAGCCAATGAGAGTCAGAAGTGGGACCTGGCCTACAGCAACAGAGGATGGCCAAAAATGTTCCCTTTGGGACTGCTGCCCAGTGCTTGAGCTTCTTTCTGCCTCAGAGTGAACTTCTAGGAGGTCATCAGGGAAGGTATAATCCCCTTTTCACAAGCAGTGGCAGCACCTGCTGTAGATGCTGTTTCTATGATGTATGTAAGGAACCACCTTGACCTGGGACGCTGGGCCAGGTACATTGTGAGCACGGCTGGCTGAGCCTGGAAAGCAGTTTTACAGAGCAAACATGGAAGATTTTTTGTTTTTAGAACATACCCTTGATCCCCAAATGGCAGAGCAGTGAGTGCCAGCAACTCAGCTTCTCCAGGACAAAGCATCTAGGTCTGGAAAACAATAGCCTGGATAGAAATCAAAGTAAGTGGAGGTGATCAGGGAACCACAAAAGAACTGATAGAGAAGAAAATAGGATGAAGTGATATATAAGGAAGAAATCACTGCTGAGGAGAGATGATGCAGTGCCACTGATGGTAGGCAAAGTGAAACAAAAAACTTTTTTGTCAGAGAACCAGAGAACTGCACTGAGATGGAAAGAATGATCTGCAGTGGGAACCAGCAAGGAAAACACAGAACACTGCTTCCACAGCAGCCTATTCAGTCAGCAGTTGCTGAGTGACCTTGGTATACGCCCCCACGGCCACAACTGTGGAGCAAGAGTAGGCAGAGGTACCACTGTAGGGAAAGGCTGAGTGTTTGAATGTGGGTCCCTAGCAGGCCCTTGGATGGTTCTCACTGCCAAGATCCTAGCGTGGATGAAAGAAAGATAATCAGGGGGACAGCTGGGGAGAAAGACAATCCGTTGGCAGTTGTAGGGCAGACTGGTGGATGTCCCACTGAGAGGCAGGGACTGGTGAGCACAGACCCAGCTCACGCAGTCAGAGGCCAGGTTCAGTCTGAGCTACACAGGGTGGAAAACCCACACTGGCACCGTGTTCCTACTGTATGCAGATCTCTAAACCCAGCACCATGCTGGGAGCAGAGCGCAACCTTAGACTTCCAGCATCAACAGAGACACATGCTGGCTTGAGCTCTGCCCCTTAGCCCTAGGCTGAGGGAAAGAGCCATGCATCCAAAACAATAAAAAAACTTCTATTATTCTTTATTGGAGTACATTTTTTTTTCATTTTTTATCTACTTTTAAAAATTTTTAATTGTTTCATTCTTTGCTGTTTTCCTCCTTCTGTACCCTCCCCCCATACACTTTTATGACCTTAGTCTACCCTTTTTTCATAATTGTGTCTCTCTATGGCTTCTCTCTCTTGCCTTTTTTCTTCCAATGCAGTTTACAGGGGTACAGGAATTCTCCCTGTCCTTTCGTATCCCTCCTACTTTTTTCCATATCTCTGCCTGAATTATTTCTCTTGTATCTTACTCATTCTCAATTTTTTCTTTCCGCTCCCCCTTTTTATTTGTCTCCTCAATGTTTTCTCTAATATTTATATCAATCATGTAATCTTTCACTATCCTCAGCCCTGGCTATTAATTTTGTAGCCTGTTTTCCCTGTTACCCCTTCTAAATACATAACATACTTTTACCATCACCAAGATCCTTTGCCCCCTTTCTGTTTCCTCCTTCCCACACTACAGGGCAGAGGATGTATAAAAAAAAAAAAAGAAAGAAACATTTTTTTCTTTCTTTTTTCTCTTCTTTTCCCTGCCTGGCATTACCTGGTCCTCAAACCTTCAGGCTTTAGACAACTAATCTTATAAAATTACTGTTGAATTCTATTTTTCACCACTGGCGGACATGCAGTCATCACACTTAGTGCACATTAACTGTGGGTCAAGCCTTGGCTTCTTAGGATGCTTACACTATAACCATGGATTTCTTCTCCATGCTAGAGGGAGACCCAAAACAGAGTTTCATAGTGTGCTGTTTCTCAACCAGCCCTGATAGATTCCAGTGTAATGAACGTCCCTGTTACTGCTGTAGCTGATTTGATTGCATAGGAGTAATCCTGACTCAGTGGATAGTTTCATGGCAATGAACCTGTCTACCAAATCCAACATCACATCCAGGGAGATGGACTGCAAGAGTTCCTAACCCAAGAACTCAGACTGGATCAGACTCTGCAAGAATGACTCTAACCCGACATAAAAAGTCCTGGTTATGAGTTAGCTTCAACACTGTGGTGAATGGATCCAAGGAGTTATTGGAGTCTGAGCATTCAGACTCTCTGCCAAAAAGGCTACCTGGGAATTACATATGCAGTGTCTCAAAGCGGTATTTAATCTGTGTTCCCACTGGATATTTTATATGTTTAAGTTTTTGTACGTTTCTTAATTTATTTAATAATGTGGGGTTATTTTTTATGGCTTTCTTTTTTTATTATGTTGTTATTTTGTGTATTTGTTTTTTCATGGTCTCTGATTTAGCAGGTATCTAGATTCTATCTCCCTATCTAGTTTCATCACCTCAAACTCTCCAAGACATTATTATTAATAATTGAATAATATTATCAAAATATTTCTTTATTCTTTTGCTATAAGTGTAAACTCCTCCTCCAAAGTTTTAAACTCTCCATACTTAACTCTCCCACAGTCACTCCTAATTCTCTAGTATTATTTCTTGATCCTTCCCATCCTAGGCTCTTCTATACTTTACCTTGCTTATTGTCCTCCCTAATAATAAATTCTGACATCAACGTAGTCTTCCTCAATCACAAAATAAATCCTTTTCTCCATATCTTGCCCTAGCTCCCACAAAATATCCTCTGAAAACTGTCAGAACCAACCATTCAACCCAACTAAAAGTACCCCAGTAGAATCAGATGCCACATCAACCTTTCTTTCTCACCTATCACTACTCCCCCCTTCACTTCTCCCCTTTAGTGTCTTCTTCCCCACCCTACCTCACCTACTTCATTTGCAGAACAACCATAAATAACAAATTGTCATAGAGTACATAAAGAATAGACTGGGGAGAAGAGTGGAACTAATAGGACTATCATATAGAAGTGTTGTAAGATTCAGTCTGTGAGCTGGGCATGGGGGCACATGCCTGTAATCCCGGCTCCAGAGGCTGAGACCAGAGCATCATTGTGAGTTCAAGACCAGCCTGGGCTACAAAGTGACCTCAAGAGCAGCCTGAACTGCAGCGCAAGACCCTGTCTCAAAAGAACAAAAAAAAAAGATTGAATCTGTGGATGCTCTAATAAGCAGAAGTAATTCTTTGAGAAAATCATAGGGAGACAGAATTCTCTAGTTTTTTTTTTTTTTTTTTTTTTTTTTTTTTTAAGACTACTCATCCAGTGAACCGACCAGAACCCACAAAACCCAGGACAAGCCAGACCCTGAGTACATGGGCACAGTCACACCTCTGCTGGGAAGACCAATTGGAACCCACAAGACAAAGGACAGGAAAGGCCCTGGGCACACATGTACACACACATCTCTAGTTGGTGAGTCAGTTGGAACCCCTAACCTGGGACAGGCCACACGGGCATGTTAACACAGACACACCTTTGGTGGGTAGAGTGATCAGTGAGACCAGCAATGTGGAAGTGTCTGGAGCAGCAGTGAGGACCTAGTAGTTGGAATCTGTAGAACTTCACAAACAGAAGACCAATTCCAGCCCTTACATCCAGAGGGCAAGATCACCTCATACCCAGCACAATTCCCATGGCAAACTTAGCTGGAGTAAACAGCACTTTTCTGGGATCTGACATGGACACTGTCACAGAACTATAAACACCAGAGGTATTTTGCTACTTTTATTCTCCCTTGTTTGTCTGATTGGCTATCCTTTTTGAATCTGGTTGGAAGTCATCTGGTTTTATCTTCTATTTTGTGGTTATTTCTGTTTTGGGATTTTTTTTCTTCTCCTCTTTTTCTCAGATCTACTTTTAGTTCTTTCTCTTCTTTTCTTCCTTTCTTTTCCATTCTTCTTTTTCTATCTTCTTTTTTCACTTTTTAGGCTTCTTACATATCTTTTTCATTTTCTTCTATTGATGCTCTTTCTCTCTTTCCTCAATTATTTTCTGAATTTAAATTTCAAGTGGGTAAACATTGTCTCTTCTCTTTCTGATTACTCCTTCACATTCTACTTTATTCTTTCCCTCCAGTACCTTCAAGTTTCCCCAAACTTGAGTGATCATCCTTTGAGCTCCAGCCCTGATTCTACTATATTTGACTACATTCATCACTTTATCTTGTCTGTTACTCATCTTAACCCTCCTGTACCCCAAAGAAGGGTAAAATGACTGCACTAATGGGGAAATCAATGTGTATAAGTAATAGTATATGTTTGATTTTGTTATATAACTTTAAGAGTTTTCCCCTGTGGTTGAAGATAGCAGGTTAATGGTTCCCATAATTTGTCAGTTGTGGAGGACCATCTGGACAACCCTTCTGGAAAGAAAAACAGTTATCACTATTTTGGTTAAACCTGGCCCTGTTTCCCTGTATTGATATGTACAGAACTGGCTAGGACTTTTCCTTATCTCTTCAACAGACTTTAAACAATGTAAATTGGTCCAGCTGAGGTGCTGTTCTGTAATCTTTGAAGCAAGGTGACAGGTTAATGTCTCCCTACCACTGTAGCTCCCAAATAAAAGGTGTCAGCCTAGGTAGGATGGAGAGCTGGTGATCCACACTGTCATCTGGGATCAACCTCAAGATAAAAGGCTATGACTTCCCAGGGCATAAAAGTTTACATATCAGAGCTGAAGCACTAACCCCACAACATTAGATACCACCTAAATTATGTCATGTAGATTATTCTTTCTGCAGATCGTTCTCTCTGCATGTTGCACAGGTGATTTCAGGCCTCCTACCTAGCCCAGCTCACAGCACTCACATACTTTCCACCATTCTCAGTCACTCATCCTCAAGCCACTGCCTTCTTCACAAATTAATAAA